GTTTTGTTTCAGTCGATGGCCAATGGGGAGCGTGGACCACACTGTCCTGTTCCACCGATTGCTTAGGCCATAAAATCAGAACGTGTGATCACCCTCAACCGCTCCGTGGTGGTGCAGATTGCGATGGCAACAACGAAGTTCTTGGGGCACCGTGCACTGGTTTTAACTGCGTTACCAACGGTAGGTAGTATCATTCGTGAAATTCAGCTTTGGGTGAGGGCGCTGTGCATGTATAAATCGGTACTTCATAGTTCCGATGCAATTAAACTATTACTAAAAGTGATGCGGGAATAACCAATCTCCATGTTTTTGAGTGAAAGTTTATTGTTAATCGATTGATTTTTTGAATGGCCGTCACGAACAAATCTGTAATTAGTGGTCAGTGGTCAGTTTGTCGTTTTCAATTATTCATAGGGGCTTGGTCTCACTGGACCGAGTGGACTTATTGTTCGCAGACTTGTGGACGTGGCACAGAGACCAGGAGCCGAACTTGCTCCAATCCATCCCCTGCCAATGGTGGGCACCTTTGCCCAAATGACGACGCTGCGGACGAAGTTCGTGATTGCGTGTTAATGTACTGTCCACATATTAGTACGTATTTATTTAACTAATAATACATAAGTCGTGTTGATACACACTGAAATTAACAATGATCCTAGAAACTGTTCCTAACTGGCATTTTAACGATATTGTCATTCTTTATTTCCGATATTATTAAGGCAATGTCGGTCCACAGGAAGAAAAGCAGGACAATACTGACTCACCGGACTTCGTAGCTATTCTTGCCGGTGTTTTTGGTACAGCTGGACTTATTACCTTCTCGTTATGTCTGGGACTTTACATAAGACGATATCAGTTACGAGGACAACGAGACAGAGCTGTTGTAAGTTATTTTTTGCTTAATAGTTTTATTGGTTTATTGTGTTCATGTAAGTGAGAAAATAATAAATCATTTTCGTCTTTATTTACAGGAAGAACGAGAACGATCAGTAGTATATCAGGAGGCGATTGAGCTCAGCGTCATACCAGTACGTATTTGTTTGTTAATCCGTTTATTTCTTTGTTTGCCTGTTTGTTTGTTTGTTTGTTTGTTTGTTTGTTTGTTTGCTTATTGTAGTTGTCATTTTTGGTTACAAAATACTTTTTATGTTCTCACAGACTGGCAAGGTTTCTGGAGTTTCTGCAGTTGAACTGAGAAAACAAAGAGAGTTGAAGGCAAAACTGAAGAGTAAGAAACGTTATGGCGAGAAAACACCGTTAATGGTACGTGTGTGGGGAGGCCTTTGATTGGTCTGAAGTACAGTGTCATGGCACTCATCCGGGTTCATCCGATGGGCTATAAAAAGTTGATTAATTTTATAAAATGAATTTAATGACAGTTATGGATCAGATTGTTACTATTCAATTACCTTCGTGAACAATTTCCGTCAGGCTTTTACATCGAAATGTGTAAGCTTAGATGTAGATAACAGAGTATCCCGCCAACATTACAGCATACTACGGGAACCCGGTTATCCATATGTTTATTCTCAGTCACAAATAAATTATTAGTGATCTGAGGTTTATCTAACGTCTTTGTATGCCATTACATTTCAGTTTTCTTCACGTTCAAGTTCAGCTTCTAGTAGTTTTACGTGCACTGTATCGTTTACGGACTTGTCGGAGGTAATCATTGAACTAATACGTACTACGATTTTGGGTGGAGCTCTCATATATATACGTTTTATCTCTGGTCTTGTATTAAAGACGGGTGTACAAGCCTTCTTGTATATTTTAAGTCTCATTTGTAACACATACCAGTACCCACCTACAATTTGGCCATTCGGCAGTAAATTCATTATACGTATCAGTATATCAAAGGTGTATGAGATAAAGGTATGCAACTGGTGTAATATGCGTCAAAGCTCATTCGAAATCACGCGATTTGAGAGATGATCACAAAATTGTTACATCAGACTTATACAAACGTACATTTCTATAAATACTAAATACAAGTGAGCCTGAGAAAGAAATGG